TAGATATTGCCGTTAATGTAAATAACACTGAATCATTGGACAGGAAATGGTGATCGAGGTGGACAAAGAAAAGAATTCAACAACCGAAGGCATTTCGTTTGAACAATTTTGCACGATGGCCGCCATGAAAATCAATGAGATTTATACCGAAGAGGACATTATCGAGTCGTTTCGTACATTTGATTTGGAGAACAACGGCTTCGTCTCCACGACCGAACTTCGACGGGCACTGTGTACTATGGGTGAGAAATTAACCGAAGAGGAGATGGAAGCCATGCTGGAACATGCAAATGTGGACGCGGATGGGAATGTACACTACGAGCAATTTGTGCATAACATCATGACTGATATGTAAAATCCATTAAAACCTTACAAGAAAACCAGACATCATATGTACAGGCTGTTTCGGATATTGATCTTTGGAAGTCCTTAATTTCTGAACATTGTGGAGTGACGTTCGTGGCAAAGTCCTTGACGGCAAAACCAACTTCTGGCGAATAATTTGACTTTGAGGCACTGCCATTTTCTCGAGTAGTTGAAGCCGCAATTTAAAAGAAAATAAAAGACAAAAAGAGCTCTGTTCTTCCTTATGCACACTTTCAAAAACAAATAGGATCCATAAGCGAATGCTACCAGCATGCATTTTAACACCAGTGCTAGTTCGATCTTTCCCTCATATTACCGATTAAGTTGAGGCATAATAGTGGATGGACTTAGGCTGACGAAAATACCCTTAACTTGAGCTGTATAAACGGACCATAACCTACCGGATCACTGGAAGCAGGAACGGGATTTATCACTGAACATAGTAATGTAAACTGTCGGACTATGGATATACCCTACAGGATGGATCAGCAAGGATAATTTAGTAGAATAAGAATGTCCGAAATACAGGACTCGGACACGATAGCGCTGCTTGACTTCTAATCTAAAATCAATGCACAATGGCAGCACAAAAACTAGCAGAGCGCTGAATTAGATCTTGCAAAGACAAGGCGGGGTCCAGATGCAATGGCGCCGCTGTATGAGTAATATATCAAATCACACTGCCCATATTGCAACGAAGCATGACCACCGTACTCTGAAACCGAAAACGTTCCAGGTTCAGCCCAATGCTAGTTTCCGAAGTACATCCCCCAAATTAGGATGCCAGACTACCCTTGTCCGTTTAGAATCTTAAATCTGCTCTCCATACAAAGCAGAAGCTTAAATAATGACCAAACAGACCTTCACGCGTGGGAGGAAAATAACAGACACAACTGTATCGCAATTCTCCAGAAGCAAGAACTTGACACTAAGATGTCACTTCTTGAAACACGTGGGACGGCATTATATGATGATAGCTCGCACGCAATTTCTGANCCAGATTTAAACATAAAATAGTATTCCATACGCTAGAGCGATTCGGCTATGAAAACCAGTCCGTCATTCGTACGATAAAAGTACCAGATATGCACTTTCTGTCTCAACCTTTTTCTTAATTATCATCTACCGCATTGCACTATCAATCTTGGATTTTATATCCACCAAAACTTCATCCATTCCTGTTAACAACCTGCTAGATAGGAAGTGTCTGTCAGGAATTTTAAAACACACTCAACGTTTGTCGACTGGAACACACCATTGTTGTCGATTAAACCCGAATCTCTTTTCTCCACCACACGTTAACTATTTGAAGGAATGACCAAGAAATCACAGACGTAGAGCGGCAATGAAATAGATGAGGGAAACCGATGCAACCAAATGAACAATCAAGCTCGGTGGCCCTAGCTGAATTGAGTCTTATATATATTTAGTGATGCGCTGCGCATACCATTACTGGAGAGACTCCAACAATTTGTTAGGAACAGAAAAGGGTTCAATCCAGGATTTGGATCCGTCTTGGACGGCACAAGTTCATTGGAGTGCATGATCCAGAGCAGATGTGAACAGTGCATCCGAATACTACGTATCGAAAAACCCTTCTAATGCATGATAAGAATGTGGGGTGAGACACCGTAGGGAAACTGTCGTTTTTAACATACGAGATCAGAACAAAATAAGTTCAACTCATTAGGCTTGTTTTAACTTGAAAGTAAGCATTGTAAAACCAGTACGTTGATTTGGTTTGCACTGACTGGGAACATAATGTAAACAAAGCAAGGATTATGCATTGGGAACATTTGTTAACAATACAATTGTAGGATGGATCAAATTATTAATTGTACACCTCCCGTGATTGTTTAACAAAGTAGTGTTGAGAGTATTAAGAATTATACACAACAATACGAACAACAGCAACAAGCCGGTGGTTATGTACACGCTGTGATCGGAGTGAAAATCGATCGGGTGTTCAAAGTTTGTCGTGAGCGTAAGACTTCACATACGAGTAGTAAAATAAAAACGGATGAGAAACCGAGGACAGATTAAAAGTTTTACGAGTGTAAGAATGTACGATGGGAAAATTATGCACACATGGAGATCACGGTTTCGCAATTCAAGAAGTGATCTGTGTAAGATAGGAAATTCATTGACGATTCCGGAGGGGGGAGTCAGTGGCGGTTAAATAACATCAAGCTGAAAGGAAATCTTCCACCAATGAATCTATAGATCGGTGATTCACTTCGAAACTTTGCTGAACTACGGACCAATTAAACTGAATGCTTTGACACAATGCAACAAGAAATCCGTGCTGGCGTTCGAGCAAATCTGGTAGACCAGTCAAATCAAACAGGATTCTTCTGTGCAGCCGTTTGAGATTTTCAAGCATCTCAGACGTTTCTGTTGAAGACGGCTTACCTTTGCACAATGGTAATAAGATTTCGCTATATTGCGAAATGATGGGATCTTCCTGAATGAACTGCTCGGATAGTATTCGATTCGTTCCACTGGCAAGATGCTGATTCAGTTGGACAGTGAAACGTTCTAGCAAACTGTCCCAACCGGCCATTTCCTGTAGATAGAGACTGACGATATCCATGCTATCCGTACAATTATTTGTTGGAGTGGAGGTAGGTGAGGGACGGGAACAATTAGCTGGCTGAGGAGCGTGAGGTGGTTGGGAAACTGGTGTAGAAGGTATTGGGGCATGAAGG